AAAATACTATTTGTTCCAAACTACATTCATAAATTGGGTCTGTGTGGTAGCCTAGTGGTTAAAGCGTGCGCTCGACACGCCGAAGAGTGAGTGATATTACCTTTATGCCTCTTTTTGCAATATTCCAGCAATATCACGGCGGGGAACACCAGAAATAGACTTTACACATTGTACCCAAATGGGGAGTCGAACCGGGTCTTCGCCGTGACGAGCGGACGCCTTAACCACTAGGCTACCCCACCGCCCCTAAACAACAAACTAACTAAATGAGAATTGAACATATTCTGTATTGTGTACAGAAGCGTTTGTTTTGGATTGTTCACAACCTTGACAAGTACAACAGTTAAACCACGGCATGTTAGTTTGTGGGATGAAAAATTCGGCTTCAGACAACTGCATCTACTCGTAAAACATGCTGACGTTGTTATTGGTTTGAACAAGCTGATCTATCAATGTTTGAAGGTTTGACAATAAGCGACTGGTTTTATGAACACGAATTACTATCCTTTGATCAAGCGATCAGGGAAACTTTGTTTTGCTATGTTCTTTTGGGTTTTTTTCGGTTTTTCGTTGTTCGTTGCTTTGCAACGTGTACACTACATTTCAAACAAAATCTAGCGGAAATGACAAGGCAACTCGATGCACATTCTGAATACTGGTGATAAATAATTTGAAAGAAGCACTGCAGTGCATTAGTAGTTTGAAGTCATCTCCCTGGAGACCACAGGCACCAACCTGCATGGCGACTCCAAGAGACGTCATTGTGTGAACGTGTGTGTGCTTAGTCAGATCCGGGTCAACTATGGTCAACAGGGCCCAATAGGGATGGACACAAGGTCACAAGGACATATGTAGAATGAGCTATGAATTAACAGCGAATTCAATGTAGAACTATGTTACTTGTTAAATTGAGTGAGCGAGTATGGTTTACGCCGCTTTTAACAATATTCCATCAATATCATTCAAATATTCAAATCAACATGGTCAACAACCAGGGCTGTTAAGGGTCATCATGACTTCATCAGGTTTAATCGAACATTCTTCAGGGGAGAACCCCAAGGAAAACGTAAAACGCAGAGCTTAATCATAAAGATCCGGGTTAGAATTGATCTTCAGAAACTCATGCTTGTCGCAAGATGCGACTAAAGAGATCGTGTGGCCAGGCTCGCTGACATGTTTGACACATGTCATCGTTTCCCAATTAAGTAGATCGATGCCCATGCTGTTGATCACTGGATTGTCTAGTCCCGAATCAATTATTTAGCTAAAATATTGCTGAGTGGCGTTAAACAACAAACAAACAAACAAACAAACAATAACGCAGGGCTGTGTGCGAGTGATTACAGTGGGGTCACAATGCACACACTCTGGGAATTGAACCCCTGTTATTTTAACTGACGAGGGAACGCTTTAACCACTAGGGTACCCTACGCCCCACAAAGCTTTCTCCGGTTTACAGGTGTGTCATCGTTTGACAAAACTGATATTTCATGTGCTTTACTTGCAAATGAGGGCGTATTGAACACTAATTTCAGATGCAAAAATGTCGATGGTATTACACAAAGAACTTAAAGATCACCCGATTACTTCTTTATACAACAGTAAATCAGCCCTTTGAATAGCATATTGACATCAATAATAAAAAATCCCTGACAAATACAAGTACTATCAATACCTAGTTTATTATGCTAAATAAAATACTGTTTACGCGATTGATTAAAAAAATGAAACTAATTTGTTAGCAATGGTGTGTCGGGGCTATCCAAGGTTTTGAAATCGATCGACAGTGTTATTCCCTGTAGACAAAGGGAGGTCCCAATGGCAAGGCTGTGTTATAAGGTTAAAATGCATCTTCTAAACAAGAAAGGTATAACGAACCAATTCTTGACAATTGCTGTTATATCGTGATAGAATTGATGCTATCACTGCTTGGCAAGTGATCAAGGGATATAGAACATAAAAAGTGGGAGTAATGCAATCAGTACCATCCAATACAGACTTTGAAACCCGCACCACTTTGCTAATGCTGACGGTATCTTTTCCAGGTGTTCGAGCCTGCTCCGCCCTTGTCACATGTCCCGATAAAACATTTCTGATTCCGTTAAAGTTACATCATTCCATGGTCTCATGTCGTACCTCGTTATCGGAGAATTACTGTAAATTACCCGTTAACTAATACTTTAAGAATCTTTTGTATTCTGTTACTCCCAGTTATTATGCTCTACATCCCTTGATTAATTACCGATCAGCATCCGTTCTATCACGACATAACCGCAATTCTCAATAGTGGGTTTGTTATGCTTATCTTCTTTAGAAGATGCATGTTAAACCTTATAACAGTAATATCGTCATGAACATGATACATGTATTCAGATGCAGGAAAAGAGTGAGTGAGTGAGTTGTTTTACGCCGCACTCAGCAATATTCCAGCTGAATGGCGGCGGTCTGTAAATAATCAAGTCCGGACCAGACAATCCAGTGATAAGCAGCATGAGCAACTATCTACGCAACTGTGATACGATTTCATGTGTCAACCAAGTCAGCGACCCTAACCACTGCACCCGATCCCGTTAGTCGCCTCTTACGACAAGCATGGGTTAGTGAAGATCAATTCTAACCCGGATCTTCACGGATCTGCAGGAAAAGACCGTTTATAATACAGTGTATGTATTTTTAATATTCTAGGAGTGTTGTAGACATACCATTGAGACATAATATTTTCAATGTTTCTTTTTTCAAACTGAGTCTACAACACATTATTCATAGACAATCCAATATGTGTAGTGAGCAGCTAGATGAATTCATTTTTTTGTATTTTTATAAAACCCCAGCGTTCTATCAGAATAGAAGTGGTAGGTATTTTACCATCAATCAAATTCAGATCAATATTCGCATGCGATTGAAAGCCCAGTCACCGAGATCGGACTACCGGATCCATCTTGACGTCTTTTTACACAAATCACCGCGTACATGATCTCTAGAAATACCTGTACAACTGCGTCCATTTTGTACATGGAACTTGAATACTGGTAATGATAACCATAATGATAATAGTCATAACGCTAGGCTAGATATTCTACTCAAAGGGCACAATCTGATCATTATTACCCAAGCTGCCTGTCAGGCGACTTATTTCACACATTTTCTGCTGGGTGTACAGAGGCCATTTTGAACAAACTCACTTGCCTAAGGTGAGACCACATGTATCACATGTGCTTCATTGTGGGGCAGGACTGAAGTCCTAGAAACTCTCAGGAGTCAAGCTGTCACACACAGTCACCCACCCAACGTTGCTTAACTTCAACTGAGCTCTATGCACAAGACCACACACTGCCACTAATGTAGAATAATTATTCAGTGCAAAGATCGATACCGTTCATAAACATATCAGTATATATATATACACAATGTCCATTATGTGTGTGGAGGGATCACATCGATGTGTTCCTACCCGACACAATACAGTCAATTGTACCACCTTAACTGCATAAAGCGAATTATTTAAGCCATTGGTCACTGATACACATCCACGTGGGACAATCGCAGGTAACAGGTGCACACAGGTGAGAATCCAGGTGAAACACGAGAGATTTACCCCTTTACAGGTAAAGTCTAATTATTCTAACAGGTAAATTTTAATTCTAAAGCTAGTTACCGATATCGACTCGGCAATGTGAACGTTCCATCATCCATCACAAAAGTCATTGCATGACTACTGCCCATCAGGCTGAAGAGGCCCGTCATAAATTACGTTCTTTTTTAATCCATTGGCATTGTCTTGCTTGTTTTCTATTCAACAATGTCAGTGTGATTGTTTGGCTAAGCATGATAGTTGATGTTGGTCTAATCTGTCTCACAGTCCCTGCACTGCAATATTTTCCCTTCTGCCCAGCCCTATCTGGAATTCTAAAGCTCTAACTGAAGCAAGTCTAGATTTCCTCAGGTTTTGAATCTCCAACCTCATATGGCGTCTTGTAGATTTAAATGAAATTATTTGTTTCTATCAAATTTGCATGTTTACAGAGACCAAGCGTTAGTCTAATGTTGTTTATTTACTTTTGGTTGTGAATAAAGAATTGAACTGACTTTAAAGAAGAGTATCATACGGAATTATTGATAATTCAATCAGTGAATTCGTTGAATTTCAATGGGTATTCATGTATCATTGATACTGACAGGAAAGTTCATGTCGGTGAACAAGCCCAAGTCTTTTCTGAACATTGCTTGAATGTAAATAAACACGGTAGACAAAATCTCTGTCTGTCTGTCTGTCTGTCTCTGTCTCTCTCTCTCTCTGTGTCTCTCTCTATATCCCCCTCTCTGTGTGTCTCTTGCTGTCTCTCTCTCTCTATGTTATTGGCTCACATACATAGTCGAGCAAAATGGAGTGGTAGTTAGAGAACCGGATTTGAACAGACAATTACAAACGCTATCACAACGTTACAAGGCTTAATACCAGGTATCTGTGAACCATCTCACACCGACCGTCACAGCATATTCCCCATTACATCACCGAATAACCATCTTCTGATTTAGTTTCGGTCACCAACAATCATTGGTATATTTTCTTGTGCTCAGTAGGTTATATTTAAATACCTCTGTTTTGGTTTCACACATATTACGTTTGTTTTAAACGTCTTACTCTACTCTTGTCAAAATATTATTCAAGCTAAACTATTCATCTCATATTATACAACGTATGTACATACCGCAATGCGTTACTATTTTTATATCCCTTTAATAGCCTATATAGGTCACATGAGATTTACAACATAATCCAATGAATACATTATCAGCATGGGCGTGTACTATTGTCACACTGTATAAATATAAACGGTACATTTAAAAATGACGTCATGTTCTTTTGTAAGTTTAAATCTAGGTTTACGTCCCCAACAACAAATAAACAAATAAACAAGTGTATAGAGTTGTTTAAATCAACGTTAAGCAGGTGAAACAGACAGATATTTCAGAACACTAATTAGAACAAATGTTCTTACCTGAATATCAGGGTAAACAAATGAAAGCAGAAAAGCACCAGCGTTCCTCCCAAGCGAGACATCCTTCCACACTGAACGTTCCGTTTCCACAGACAGTGAACACTCGCGATCACATAGCCTGGCTTGAATCCGACAGAGCCTGAGGCCACGGAAGATTTATACCATGTGGATTATCTCCTTTGGATTATCTCAGGTGACTTATTTTAACCTTCCACGTTCTGTATGTGGGAGATTTAATGAACCACGGCCGACGAGGCCTGCACGCCCTTCGTTCAACAGTGCGGGATACTCCTGACATAGGCTTTGCTAGCCTTGAGTGAGTCGTACATTATTGAACCAGAGCTGCGTGTCTGGGAAACACTTAATCAGTTGGTGGGGTCTCTGTCGGGGTCTCTGTCGTTATGTGTTTATGTGTTTATGTGTTTATGTCAGTGTTGGAGTTCAATACGCAAGTTTCCAGATTTTTAAACTTCAATAACTGCGTTGGCTACGCGATTGAATTTTCAACTTGACAGATGAATTATTTATTACTGACTGGCTGAGTATGGTTTTACGCCGTTTTTAGCAATATTCCAGCAATATCACGACGGGGGACACCAGAAATGGGCTTCACAAGTTGTACCCATGTGGGGAATCGAACCCGGCCTTCGGCGTGACGAGCGAACGCTTTAACCACTAGGCTACCCCACCGCCCCTATCTATTACTAACCATTATAAGAGTGAGTATGTTTTTACGCCGTTTTTAGGAATATTCCGGTATATATCACGGCTGGGACAACTGGAAGGGCTTTATGCATTGTTTCCATGTCACTTGTTTGGAATCGAACCCGGGTCTTTAGCGTGATGAACGAACGCTTCAACCACTAGGCTATCCCACCGCCCCCGACTATTATAAATCGTATGAGTGAGTGATTGTTATTTAAAGTAGCAGGCATCACTACCCCAGCATATCACAGCGGCTGTGAAAAACGGTTGGGGCTTGACAAACCTGTGATTGATAGTATGAACATAGCGATACTCCTGACCACCGGGGCAAAGACGAACCTGGGTTAATAAAATTCACTTCTGTCCCGAATGCCAGCAAGGTAAAACCATATGAAGGAATGGTCATTTGAAAACACATTGAAACTCTGTTATACCAAACTGATGAAATGATACAGGGACGTTTTAAAGGTGTTTGTTTGACTGTCTATTTTTGTGTGTGCTTGTTTGTTGTTTAAAGCCACATTCAGAAATATTCCAGCTATATAACGGCAGCTATAATGCTTGGCAATTGATCAAGGGATATAGAACATAAACACTGGGAGTAATGCAATCAGTACCATCCAATACAGACTTTGAAACCCGCACCACTTTGCTAATGCTGACGGTATCTTTTCCAGGTGTTCGAGCCTGCTCCGCCCTTGTCACATGTCCCGATAAAACATTTCTGATTCCGTTAAAGTTACATCATTCCATGGTCTCATGTCGTACCTCGTTATCGGAGAATTGCTGTAAATTACCCGTTAACTAATACTTTAAGAATCTTTTGTATTCTGTTACTCCCAGTTATTATGCTCTACATCCCTTGATTAATTACCAATCAGCATCCGTTCTATCACGACATAACCGCAATTCTCAATAGTGGGTTTGTTATGCTTATCTTGTTTAGAAGATGCATGTTTAACCTTATAACAGTAATATCGTCATGAGCATGATATTCAGCTGCAGGAAAAGAGTGAGTGAGTGAGTTGTTTTACGCCGCACTCAGCAATATTCCAGCTGAATGGCGGCGGTCTGTAAATAATCAAGTCTGGACCAGTGATTGACATCATGAGCATCGATCTGCGCAATTGGGAACCGATGACATGTGTCAACCAAGCCAGCGAGCCTGACCACCTGATCCCGTTAGTCGCCTCTCACGACAAGCATGGCTGTCTGAAGACCAATTCTAACCCAGATCTTCACGTGTCCATGGAAAGGTTATTCGATGGATATGTATTCAATACGAGTATCACATCAGGGTTTAGCACCTTGAGTCTGCAGTGTTTCAATACCTGTTTTCATTCCATTAACGTTTTTGTCAAATCCAGACACTAAGTGAATACTTTGTATGCTCTGTTTATATTGATCTGATTGGATCCTATCAGTTAACACATCGTAAATAATCCAATATATTTGACAGACAAGGAACCTTTCGCGACATTTCCAATTTTTATTTTTAAAAAGCACGCCAATACATATGTTACAAGTCACAAGTTGATTTTGTGATTATGGTTTAACAGCTTTCAGGAATGCCCCAGCGCTATCGCCGCGTTTCCATCCTAGCGGATGTATAAACACTTAAAACATTGTTCAGTTCGATATCATAGCACGGAATCAAGATGAACTGATGGGTGTCAACGTGAATATTTATGTATTGAACGGCGACGTGTTTGTTGGCGTCATGGAAGGATGGTTTAGAGGATAGATCGTACAATAGAGCACACGATATCGGAAACAATTACTACCTGCTATCAACTGACAATGATTTTTAACATAAAAAACAACCCTAGCGTTATATTTTCTACCGTTTAGCACGCTAAATCATGTAAAATACCTGTTTTGACAAATACAAGGATATGAAGAAGAGCGCTATGTTTGTTTATTTGTTGTTTAACGCAACAGCCGGCAATATTTTAGTGTATCCAAACAGTCAATAAAAAGTCTCAATATAGCACCGACAAAAGAGTGTTTGTTATTATGATCAAAGCATGGGGATCGGAAGGTCACAGTGACCTGACTGTATGTCATTGCGCCCTAACGGCATAATGGTATGTTATTTACGTTCCGAATTAAATAACGGCTAAGAACTGATTGCGGCTTACATAGCATCAACAAACACGAGAACATAGTTCAGCCAATCAGCTGATAAGGACATGTACCCACAGTGTTCTAAAATTTGAGGTCTCTTTTTAGATTCGAAATTTGGATTTTATTTGGAACCGATGGCTTTCAAGCTATCGCGGTATGTACTGAAGGAAGATCGTTGTTTTTGATGCAGAGATACTGCTACTTTTTTAGACCTGTGGTTAGTGTGTGTCTAACGTAACTGCGTGTGTTCTGAAACACATATCATCATGCTTAAAAGACCCGTGCAGATCCGGGTTAGAATTGGTCTTCAGCAACCCATGCTTGTCGTAAGAGGCGACTAACGGGATTGGGTGGTCTGGCTCGCTGACTTGGTTGACACATGTCATCGGTTCCCAAATTGCGTAGATCGATGCCCATGATGTTAATCACTGAATTGTCTGGTCCAGACTCAATTATTCACAGACTGCCGCCATACAGCTGGAACGACCAAAACAAACTAACCAAACTAAGAACACGTATCTTGCTGTGATGAGTTATCAGCGGCCATTGTAATATACATCGATGCTATCGACACAAATACCCAAGTGATATTTAACCCAAATGGAGAATCGTTTTAATTGGAGTTTTACGCGCAAAACAATTACACCAGAGGCCTGCCAAAGTGAGCCTTAGCAGAAAAAGCATAACGTTTCATGGAAGCAACGTTTCACAGATTGTGCACATCACAACACGTCGCTAGCCAAATACAACGGTGGTTATAGAACTATTGAACTCTTTTAACTGAACATAGCATAATCGATAATGGATTCTGCGTTTCAATAGGAGTGTGCCACTTTGTGAAGAAAACTAAGCATTTTTCTAGAGAATATATGAATGATGCGATTGGAAATTGCAAAATTACAAGGAAATATATTGCAAGTGGTTTCGCCTTTGAGTGATTTGTATTTATTAAAGTTGTTCAACATATCAAGAGTTGTCTTTCGTTATATGCATATGTAATATTGTTGTATTGATTTTATATTGCAATCCTGCTACATGTACCATCTGTATATTGGAAAATGAATAAAGGAAGTATGAAAGTTTCAAAATTAATCTGTTGAAAGTGTCGTCTTTTGCATCGTGATCAGATTATGAAGAGTTGTCTTTCGTTATATGCCTATGTACTATTGTATACTCATGCCAATAATGGTTGTCACCCCTTCAATTCTTTTAATTGGAGAGGGGTGGGGTGGGGTGTGTGATGTGGTGATGTGATGTGATGTGAGGTGTGGGTGTGTGTGTGTTTGGGGTTGGGAGGGTGACAACCATTATTGGCATGAGTATATTTCATATTCCTGGACCCGTGGAGATCTGGGTTAGAATTGGTCTTGAACAGTAACCCATGTTTGTCGTAAGAGGCGACTAACGGGATCGGGTGGTCAAAATTGTTGACCTGGTTGACACATGTCATCGGGTCCCAGTTGCGTAGATCGATGCTCATGATGTTAATCACTGAATTGTCTGGTCCAGAATCTGGCATATTGCTGAGTGCGGCGTTAAACAACAAGCAACCAATTATTCCCGGGTATAAGGCCTAACTGTACAGCCTTTAACTGGACTCTTTGGGCACCACTGATCATTACAGGCGGGGCTTCTACATATATGCTGTAATATCTTTCAACAAAACCCTGTTTGTCTACATACACAAGTTGTATTTAACAGGCAGCAGGTCAATATTGGCATTGCTCTAAAGAGTTTTATCTCAGTATGGCATACGCTCATTATGGTATTTGAATTTGCGCAAATGCATGGAGCTTGGCGTCAAGGAACGGAATGTCAGGTGGGAATATTTATCAGAAATATTGGAAATGACTTACAGACTGTAAAAACACCAAGGCCACTAGCTGGGTTGTCGGATAATGCAAAGATTCGGTACTGTAAATGTTTTTTTTTAATCCTGACTATTGTTCAGTGAGTGAGTGAGTGAGTGAGTGAGTGAGTGTGAGTGTGAGTGAGTGGAGTGGGCTTTAGTGGATGGATTCATGAGTGCGTGAGAAGGTTGGTGGGTTACAGTGAGTGAGTGTTATGGGAGAGTGAGTGGGCTGGGCTAGGGGATGATTCATGAGTGCGTTTGGGTTGGTGGGTTGAGGGAGGTTTGGCTTGAGTGAGGGAGAGACTTGATGGGTGTGTGGGTTACAGTGAGTGTCTGAATGAGGTGAGTTAGTGTGTATGACTGAGCGAGTTTTATGTGAGTTATAAGCTGGTTTGAGCATCATTTGTGTAAAGTAAGCTTGACGAGAGAGTGAACTCCGACAGTATGTAGAACGCAGGTGTTCACCATCGGCATCAACAAACACAATTCGACCCCACAGTCCCAGCTTCTGGCACTTTTAAAAAACACTGCACAGCGAACAGAGCCCATAGTGGGACAGGGTACAAGATGGACAGTCACAGTGAGTGAGTGAGTGAGTAAGTTTAGTTTTAC